AAGACAAAGGTTCTTGGTTTCTGAAGTCTTTTGCTCTTGTGAAAAAGGCTCTAGTGACATTGCCTAAGAACGGATTTGAGGTTTTATAGCGTGTGAATTGGGCTTTGGATTTACCAGAAATCGAACGACCGCTTGTGGGCGGCAAAGATTTCTTGCTGTTGATCTCGACCACATGTCATTCAGCAGCAAAGGAGGGTGGAACGAAACGACTGGATAAAGTCAAAACTTTCACCCTTCCAGTTGAAAGCTCAAACGACGGCCATCCTCTTCCAGGCATTAATTGCGTTTCACATCTTCATTTAATGCTCTGATAGGGGCGTCGTTCCAATGTACAACGCATTCAATGTCTTAGTAAAGTGCGTTGTTCCAGCATGCAAGTATTAAATGAGATTGGCGTAGCATTATCACGCACACGACAACCACTGTCAGCGCAAGGATTGTTTCACTAAATGTATTCCTCTCATCAAAACAATGTGTGCGTCGGACGAGTCCAGGTCACTCGCCCTCTGCAAACATGAATATGTGAGGTCGCGTTCACAAAAATGTCATCCAATGTATTTTCAACACAGACTAGAATTTCCAGAATCATCCCACTGTGGCATGACCTATAGTTTCTAAGGTTCAATCCTAAATTAAAAACTAGGGGACTTTTGTTATGCCCAAAATTTCCAGGGCTGGCGTCAGGTCCACTACAGCCCACAAAGGTCAGACACATTGGGACAACCAGATGTTCCGTCAGGATATGGGTGCGCGTTAGGCTAGCCAGGAGCTGTGGTGCTCCCATGTGTCCCAAGGCGCTCTAAAATCACGCCAATCACTCTGGAAGGTGGCAATGTGACATAAAGAAGGATTTGCACAGATAATCCCACCAACTTAAAGATTTAGTGATCATTGCCTCACCACATCTCACATAAATTGGGAAGCTCATCTCTCATTAAAGGGGATTGGCCATTTTACGCTCATTAACTATCCTCTCTTCCCTAGATTCTTAGTATTCAATATCTTGTAATATTATTGTAAAGTCGTCTGCTAAAGCGACCTAACCTTGTCATCAATATAAGCATCAGTGGACGTAGGATTTGCTACCTTAGCATCCACCCACATTAAAAACTATCCTCATTGCATTTACTATCCCTTGATCCATACTTCACGTGGTGTCTCTGCGGGCCACCACAACATTTCACACCTGCGTTTCGTTGGTGCAAAAATCGACATCAACAATAATATTAATATATATATAATTATATATATGTTCCTCTTGAAAGTCTTGATTTGATTTAGCCATTTTTTCTCAGCCACTTTCCAAATTCAACAAACAGAGGTTCTTCGTCGCAGAAGAGAATGTTTTTATTAATTTATTTGTGTACTTAATTGCTCTTCTTTAGCTTTGTAACTTTTGCTTTGTTTGTGTAATAAAATTTATATGACGAATGCTATTGTTGAAGGGCGAAACCAGGAATTTCCTTTTGGGGAGAGCTGCAAAATTGTTTTAAATATATCAAATTATATTATTTCGATTTGGATAACTTTTATTGATTAAAAGATATCATATACGGTTTTATCAGAGCTATACCGAGCGTTACCTTTCAAAATGTTGAAAATTGGAAGCAAGGATACAAAGAATTTTAATGCGTTTGTTTTCCCATTTTTCCCCCCTATTTATTTTCTATCATTTCCAAACAAACATTTGTTTCCCTAATATGAAAATACTATTTATTTATTTAAATTTTTAAACCCCCTAAATTTGTAATTTAATAAACACCCCTAGAAAAAGTGTTAGAAATTGACGGAAAACACCCTCACCCACCACATTATTAGATTTCGGCCACCACACCTGAAGGTGGCCGAAATATGGGATAATAGTGCACTACCGACTGATTTGGTCGGTAGGGCCTGATCTAGCCTTTTCAAACCCAAGATCTGGTCTTGCTGGCTAGATCTTTGACCATAGCTAGTCGTCATGATGGTCTATGTTTGGCTGTCGTTGACAACCAACGTGCCAAATCTGACCGTCAATGGCCAGATCTAGCGTAAATCTGGTCTTTTTCGACCAAGTCTACAGTAGATCTGGTTGGAAAAGGTCATCTTGCAAACGATCAGCTAGATCCAACCGGTCATACACCAATACGACGACTCTAGCCTCCTGCGAAGCTGGTAACACCAATACTCGTTTAAAATAAATAGCCAATGCAGAGATCTTTTTTCTCAGTGTTCTGATGGCCTGAAGGAAAGCTTCTCAACTAATTAACCGCATACAAATGCATTATTGTTGTTATAGTCATAATTGAGGAGCAAGGCCAATATCAGGGCATCTAAAACAATTATACATGTATTTCAATACTGTTGGTTTTTATTTTATACTGTTAGTTTCTCGCTACAGTTACTGAATTGTTAGTAGTTCATTTCAACTTATTTGCTTCTACATTTTGGCATCATTGAATTGATATTCAATTCGAATTACGAAAGAATTATATTGGGCTTAAGAGTTTCTTTACTATGTGTAGCTCATGCTAACTTTCATGTATTTGATTTTTTCTTCTTTCATTTGTAGGGAGTAAATTTATTCAGAGATTGTTGACGAAAATATCATAAATGGGTCCTACTTTTTAACACAAATGGCAATCTGGTCGGAAGGATACGATGAAGCGAATGGGTATCACATTATACATATAGGTTGATGATGTTTGCATGTTAGGGATTGTGTGAATGGTGGTGGAATAGGAAGACAACTCTTAAGATCTGTTTTTGAGAATCTTGACAATTTGATGGAGTAGCTTTCTTGCATATTAGAGAATTTCTATACACGAGGTCTGGTCCGTCTCAGAAACAGTTATTTTTGAAATCTTGAAAAGAAACATACATACTGCATGTTCACAAGGTCAAAGAGATAATGAGAAGGTTACGCCATCAAAGGTTCTTGTCATACTTGACGATGTAGATCAATAGAACAATAAAAGAGTAGGAATGCATGATGGTTTGGGGGGGAAGTAGAATCTCATTACAACCAAAATCGACATTTGCTTGTTAGCCATGGCGTGGATTAGTGCTATGGTCAATGGGTTAAATTGGGGAAGCTCTTAAGTTGTTTTGTTGAGAAAGCCTTTAGAAATGTCATCCTCTGATTATTTGGAGCTTCTCTGCAAATGGTCGATTATGCTGATGGCCTTCCATTGGCCCTGAAGTTCTGGGATCCTTCTTGTTTGGTAGAAGTAAAGCCGAGTGGAAAGATGCATAGGTCTCAAGAATACTGGACCCTAGACAAGAGTTACTTTGGAGTTTCTAATACTAAAGTATATAAAAAAAAATATTTCAAATTTATTTTCTGTCTTTTGAGAGCAAAATCACTAAGACAAGTGGAGGAACGATCGGCAGGCTAACGGGTGGTCAGGTTTGTGGGGGGTTTTGGAGAGCAATGTTGGAGAAGCGATGGGTGGTGAAATAGGTAATTTCCAATGTCGGATGGCCAGAAAAGGCTTGAGAAGTTGTAACCCAAAAGGTATCGGTGGCTCGGTGATAATGGAGTAACAAGATGAGGTATGATAGGGATTTTGGTGAGAGGGTTGGGGGGAGGAACATGGTGATGTCAGGAAGGCCAACAACGTTGGGAACATGCTGAAAAGGCCGAAATGGCTGGTCGTGTGCGGTGGAGTTGGGTTATGAGACGTTAAAAAAAAAAATGGTCAAATCGAGGGCTATCAGGTTGGAAAAACACTGGGAAATGATAAAGTGATGATTTCGATTATTTAGTTGAGAAAATTGATCGGAATCAGCTCCAAACGGCTGGCGGCGGAAGAAGGGCAGAGATGATTTATGTGAATGTCGAATTTTGGGATAGAATTGGGGTAAAGTATTTGAGACATGTAAATGACTATTTTAGCTTTTATTGTTAAAAGAAATTCAATGTGTTAAATAGGGGTGTAAATTAAAATATAAAACTAGAGGTATAACTTGCTATTTTGTTAAACTGTTGGTGGGAATATATGTAAAAAGTTTATAATAAATTCGGGTCTTTTTGGCCCTTTTTTTTTTTTTTTTTTTTTACTCATACACATTTTCATTTTTAATATATTAAAACAATTATAAAATTTAGACCCCTTTTTTGGGGGGCCTAGGCAGGTGTCACTGCACCCTTGAGCCGGGCCTGAAAAGCAATGCATGCATAGATTTGAAAAAAGTCGACCCAAAGAAGTTTAGACCAAGTATATTACCACATTATCTTTGTTTAATTTTAAAATTCCATAGCATACCCTTATTTAATGTAGTACCCTTTTTAGTAATTTTATAATAAAATATATATAAGCTACATTTTACCAAACACGTCAACTATTTATCAGTCATTTATAAGTACTTTAACCAAACACATAATTGCTTAAAATTTCAAATGCTTATAAGCTAAAATTAGCTTATAAGTACTTGTTACTTATAAGCTATTTTTCATAAGCTTAGACAAACACCCCCTAAGTCATCGGCATATATCTTTTTGTAGCACAAGCTCACATATTTCATTTTATTTCTAGGGTCTAACACCATTGCAACCAACACTATCACATTGGTTTTGTCAAGACTCCCAAAATACTTGTGAGCGCTGGTTCCAATTCCTACCCGGAACCATATGTTTGGGTGCCCGTTGGTTTCCAGTCTACCCATTAACCATGCTCACCCTTACGAAATATATGCGGTAACAAAACTCAGAAATAATATTTTTGTGTAATTAGTTTTTCCCTTACACTACTTGGATTGTTAGTAGTTTATTTTAACTTAATTTGGTTTCAATTATTTGACATCTATTGGAATTGATATTTAATTCCAGTGAAAAGAAAATAATAGATAGGTTTAAGATTATTTGACGTATTTGTATGTCATACTAATTTTTTATATTATTGGTTTTTTTTCCCTCATTTGCAGGGAAGAGTCCAAATTTATTCGATGCATTGTTTATGACATATCAAGTAAATTGGGTTCTACCTTGTTAAATACCATTTGGAATCTGGTAGCTAGGAATGGACTCACAAATGAAGGAAATAGACCTATTTCTAGGTATAGGTTTGGATGATATTCACATGTTAGGAATTTGTGGAATGGGTGGAATAGGTAAAACAACTCTAGCAAAATTTGTTTTGGACAAGATTTCTTATCAATTTGATGGTAGTTGCTTTCTTGCCAACGTTAGAGAAGTTTCTTTGACACAAGGTCTGGTCGCCCTGCGGCAACAACTTATTTCAAAACTCTTAATAGAAAGAAATATAAACATATGGGATGTTGACGGAGGATGTAATGAGATAGGGAGAAGGTTACAGTGTAAAAGGGTTGTAGTCATACTTGATGATGCAGATCAATTAGAACAATTGCAAGCATTAGCTGGAATGCATGATTGGTTTCGTTTGGGAAGTAGAATCATCATTACAACTAGAGATCAACATGTGCTTGTTAGACATGGTGTGGATAATGTGCATATGGTTGATGGATTAAGTCATGAGGAAGCTCTTCAGCTCTTTTGCTGGAAAGCCTTTAGAAAAGGTCATCCTACTGATGGTTATTTAGAGCTGTCAGTGCAAATGGTCAGTCATGCTGTTGGCCTTCCATTGGCTCTTGAAGTTTTGGGATCGTTTTTGTTTGGTAGAAGTGAAGCTGAGTGGAAAGACGCATTGGATAGATTGAAAAAAGTTCCTGACAGAAGAATTTTTGAAATACTCAAAAATAAGTTACGATGGGCTGCAGGAACTAGTGAAGAAAATATTTCTGGATGTTGCTTGTTTCTTTAAAGGGAGGGACATAGATGAAATAAGAGAAATACTAGACAGTTGTGATTTTCACCCAGATATTGGAATTAGCGTTTTGATTGATAAATGTATCATAACTCTTTCAAACAACTCATTGTGCATGCATGATTTGATACAGTATATGGGTTGGGAAATTTTTTGCCAAGAGTGCCCAAAAAAGCGTGGCCAGCGGAGTAGATTGTGGCTTTCTAATGATATTCATCGTATATTGACAAAAAATGAGGTATGCTGTCCTGGAGAGATTGCAAACTTAAAACATCATTATGTCAATATATGGATACAATATTAGATAGATAGGATTGAAGTTTTATTTTTATTTTTACCTAATCACTTAACCATTGCTCTTTTTCCATCAGGGCACAGAGGCTGTTGAAGGCATAATCCTAGACTTTCCCGCATACAAAGAATTAAAATTGAATGCGAAATCCTTTTCAAGGATAAACAATCTAAGATTACTCAAAATCAAAGATGGTAGCCTTTGCCAAAGTCTTGAATATCTTTCAGATGAGTTATGTCTTCTGGATTGGCATGGCTACCCCTGAAGATCTTTGCCATTCAATTTTCAATACAGCAAACTTTTCGAACTTAACATGTGTAACAGCCACATTAAACAACTTTGGTAAGGAGTAGAGGTAACATTCTCAATTGCATATGTACATCTCTGTTTCTTTGTTTAAAATGTAACTCAACTTTTCTTGTTTGTTGAAACTGATCTTTTCTAATTTAGTTTTCATTTTCCTTCTATCAGTATTTGAACCAATTGACTAGTATTAACCTGAGTCACTCAACATACTTAACTGAGACCCCAGACTTCACTGGTGCCCCAAATCTTAAGAGACTGATTTTTGATGGTTGTACAAGTTTATCTTTTGTTCACCCATCCATTGGACTCCTCAAAAAGCTTATATTACTGAATCTAAAAGACTGCAAACAGCTTAGGAGTCTCAGAGCTAAAATTGAATGGGAATCTCTTGAAGTTCTTATCCTTTCTGGCTGCTCAAAACTCAGTACTGTTAGAGAGATCATGTCCAATACAGTGCATCTCGCAATGCTTAAAGTTCTTGATCTTAATGGCTGCTCAAAACTAGACAAACTTGCCAGATGCTCCAGAAGACTTGGAGCATTGGCAAGTTTGAAAAATCTTGATTTAGGTGGAACTGCTATAAACCAACCACCATCTTCTATTGTGCTATTGAAAAACCTCGAACAATTATCTTTTCATGGATGCAAAGGAAAAACTCGAAAGTCCAGGAGTTATCTCTCCAGTTTGTTCCCATTGTTCTCTAGAGCAAATCCAGAGTCCGTGGGCTTGAGGTTTCCTTCTTCTTTATCTGGTTTATGCTCTATAAGACGCTTGGATCTAGGTGATTGCAATCTCCAAGAAGGTGCAATTCCCTCTGATATTGGCTTCTTACCATCTTTAATAACATTGATTCTGAGCAGGAACAAATTTGTTAGTTTACCTCCAAGCATCAACTCCCTAAGCTTAAAACTCTTTATATACAATATTGCGATCGGCTTCAAGCCTTGCCAGAGCTTCCAGCAAGTACAGATGCATTATTTGCTCAGAATTGCACATCCTTGGAAAAATATCATCAAGTCCATCACATAGATTCAGATCAATATCACGAGTCTTTTATTTTACTAATTGCTCCAAACTGGCTGGAAGTAGAAGAACCAACGCTGTGACAGTCACTTTTTTAAAAATGTGCTTCATTCGCTGTTAAAAAGTCAAAGTTCAGGTATGGTTATATAAGTTTATTTATTTATTTATGACTTCAGATTTAGTTTTGATATCTCTAATTATAACCATTATTTTAATTAATTGTAAAATCATATGAAAATCAATTAGTAAATGGTAGCTTATTGCCTATACATGATGACATTGACTATGAGTAGAACAATTTGATTGAAAACAATATTCTGGTAATGCCTCTTCTTTATTCACAGCGACTTAATTGTGGAGTTACACGTTCTGAATTCAAAATGGTTGTTCCTGGATCTCAAGTTCCAGACCGGTTTATTTATCATAGTGAAGGGTCATCATTAAGAATTGCTCAACCAATGCTAAGATGTAGGGGACTGGCACTTTGTGCTGCTTTTTCAATACATGATCCAAAGGGTTTATGTCCATACAGATGGATAAAACTTGATTGTAACGTACAAGTGGATATCACTCCTACTCATGCTGTTTCCAAGACACCCCTGAATACAAAAAGGATTCCTACTGTCTCCATGTCAGTCCCTCCAAATTCCTTGGGTGGGACAGATCGCCTCTGGTTGTTCTACATTTCTAGAAGTTATCTCACCAAGAACGATATTTTTTATCTAAGTGTGGTTTCTTTTGGACTCACCGAAGAAGGAATTACGATGAAGGTAAATGAATGTGGGCTCTGTCCAGTATATGATTCTGATATTGAAGAATTCGTCGCAGCATCCAATAATCTTAGCAGCAATACTAGTCCTGAGGTTTCAGATCCTGACAGATTAGCAGTAGCAAGTACTGTCATCAAGCGAAGCTGTGATTACTGCCCTGATCAGCAGCCGTATCCAAAAAGATTGAAGTGATACTGTTTAGTACTTAAACCTCATGAACAAATAACTCTTGGAATTAAACTCTTCACTCCTGCTGGCCTTTTCTCTACCTTTTACTTGCTATGGTTTTTGGAAGTGCTTGTTCGGTTGTTCCATATCGTTTCTTGTATTTGTTTTTCCGAAAATAAATCCAGAAAATTAAAATATTTTTTATGTATTTTAAGCTCACATTAAAATCATTTACAATAAACCAATAAAAATATCAAACAAGTCAAAACTGTCTTATCTTTTGTTTTCGGGAAATTGATCCCTGACAACAGTAGAATTGAGGGCTTGTTCATTTCTTCAAGCCTGTCGAATTCATTATTACACATTCTAATGCTGCTACAACTTGGTCAATTCTGCTGGCTTAGTTTTCGAGCAATGAATTGACAGATGCATAGGGATCCCGTCACTCGACTAAATTCTATTGCGTAGATGTAGTTAGCTAGATCAGAATCATGGCAACAAATAAAAAAATATTGGTGTGAGATGCATCAGCATATGCGCACTTTATTCACGAACTTTTTTTCCCCCTTACTGTACTTATCTTGTGTGGTAATTTATGTGGCTAACTCTTCAATATACAAATCAAATGAATAATGCTTTTCCTAGTAAGATTGTGCTTTTATTTTAACGACACACAGTTATGATCAATAAGTTCGTTTATTCTAGCATTTGCATTTCCAGGTAAAAGTCTCACAACTGAAATGCTTCAGTCATATTCTTTGTAAAAATATTTGAAAGGTTAAGGTTCTGTCTCGATTAATAATAATGTTCTTTTCAATTTTGAGAATCATTCTTTCATCTGTCAGCTTACTATTGACATTGATTTTACTCTAAAATACTCTTTAAAGCGATGGCTTTTATTGTTTATATGTTATTTTTGTGCAAATTTGGGAGAAGATATATGACCGGTCCCGATCAACGGAGGTAAGCAATAATATCTTTTGTTTAGATTTGTCCGATTTAAAAATTGTGAGAGATTAGGAGTTTTCAGTTTTAGATTAAAACTATATTGGGTAAAAGGACATACTTGCCCTTTTATTGTTAAGTTCAACTATTGGAACTGAAAATTGGGTGGAACGTTGATGGGTTTTCAAAGTGAGGGTATCAGCTTGTATTCTGGCTGAACCTTGGGTGGGTACATTAATGCAGCCCAAATAAAAACAGAAAAACCCTTACACCGTGTAATAGAAAGATGTTCCATCAAAAACAGTCCTTTTCTGGCTACATTTAATGCAGTCCAAAAAAAAACAGAAAAACCCTTGCATCGTGTAATAGAAAGATATTTCATCAAAGACAGTCCTTTTTTGGTCAATCAGAGAGTCACCAACCCCAACTAAACACACCACCAGACTCATCGTTCGTTGTAGTTTGCGTTGGTTTGTTGTTTGGCTGTTGCTAACTTTTTCTTTACCGAAAATCCAAGCCCAAAGTTGCGCCCACCACCTGCTCGAAGAAAGGCCTAGCCTATCTGTTGCCCTGCCCCTTCACCGTTTTCACCTCAGAAACCATCCTCCACACCACCTCTAATCACAAACACCTTCCCCAACCATCGTCCAACAGTTCCCCCTCATTTCCCGCCTTCCTCTTGTCCCATAGCCCAACAAATTAACGCTCACCAACTATTCGATAAAATGCCCCAGCCAACAAAGTGTTGAATACCATCGAGATTCAGTTCGAGTTGAAATCGAGTATGAATGGAAACCAACGTGTTGTCCTAAATGTTGCAAGTTTGGCCACGTTTGCCACGTGTTGTCCTAAATGTTGCAAGGCTTGAGGATGAAGTTGATTATGGAACTGCAGAGCCTGAAATTCCATGAGAGGTTTGTAGATGGTAATGGAAGTGATTGGTATTTTAATGTTCAAGAAGTTCTGCTCCAGAGGAGAAGATCAAAGTATATTGAAATCATGGGAGAGTGGACTATTCCAGCTAAAGAAGCATTTTAGGCAAAAAAAAAAAAAAGTTCATATATAACGAGATTTTATGGAATAAAACATATAGATATATGACGAGATTTCATTGAATCGACATATAGATAATGTATTAAAATACATAAAAATAAGATGAATATCTAGATTCTAATGGGAATCATCATATACTCAGTTAAAATCGAAAATCGTGTCATTGAACTAATTCCAGATAATAAGGTAAAAATGGACACTTCTATTACGGTTGGTGATACACCTTCACTCACTGTCGTTAGATAGTAATTATTTATTCAGTGTTTTTCCAACAATTATGCCAAAGAACAAATTGAAACTATGCAAGTTTTCATGTTGTTGGTTTTGAAGGTTACTTGAGGCATTGAGGCAACACGCCTATGAACTACATGTGTTTGTTGTTCAATTTATCAATGTTTTTTAATGGGTTTATCTGATTTTCCTCCTTGTAAGATTGCTTAATATTAACCTCATTTGCTTCTTTCAGAAAGTATTAAAAACACCTTTGTAATTATTAAAACCTCTCTACCATCAAACTCCCTCTTACAAAATAAATATAAAAAAATTAAAAAAAAAAAAACTCCTGATAAGGGTCTTTTCGATAGTTTTTAAATGAAGTGGATGATTATATTTTAATTGAAAATGAGATATAATTATTGTGGTGTGTTTATGTTTGATTTGTTAGTGTAAACGGTGTCAAACAAAGCCATGTGTACTGGTTACAAGTTTATGGGCTGATGATGTAGTGCGGCATTTACCAAGAATAACAGTTCCAAGATGATTTGGAAGTGTTTTCATTGTAGATGTGTGGCCTGTAATTTCTGGACTTTTATTCAGTACAGTAATTTAAATAGTAGAGTTAAATCAAATCTTCTCTCGCTCAATTCTGATCAATAGATTTACCGTTTACATTTCCAAGTTGAGCTTAACAAAGATCGAATAACCGTTTCCACCCTATCTTTGCCTCAACAAATTTCCACCCCTCAGAATACTATAAACCTTACACCCAATTTTCAAATTCAAGCGTTAAGTTAAAAACGGGTAAGGGGTGTTCTCGTCATTTCCTATCACTAACATAAAATCAACATAATACACCATCCTAATCAAAACCCCACCAAAAACATAGGAAAACACAC